TCACCTTTTTGTCTACGATCTCCATTTTGTCCATGCAGCAATACTCCAAAGTTGCTCGCCATCCATGCCTTCGACTTCAGTTCTCCTTCTTCCATGCGTACGTTGGCTTTCCCTTTCGTCTTCTTCAATCTTGCGCTTTTACTGCTCTCGCTGGTCTCTTCCACTTTCTTCTTGGATTCCTCCAGATCATGACTCTTCCATTTCTCAACAAGTTCGAAATGTCCACGTGTGAACCAATCACAGTTTCCCTATTCGGGGAACGTGTTAGCTGCCAATCTATGTTGCTGCGGGACAGTGCAGGTAGCCTTGCTGCCCGTAGCCCCAAGTGTTCCTCAAAGGTGGGGTTGGTGGTGCCCACACGTAGAAAGGTGGATAAACAGGAGGAAGCGATTGTGGTGCAGGATGCGTTGGTATGGGTGAAGAAGTAGGTGGCTGTCCTGCTCCTGGGGCGATGGGTGGTGTCACCTGATACTCATCCATTACCTCCTACACCCAGACCACATCCCTCGCCTCCTACCACGTCCCCTCGCCGGCATGCAGACTTGCAAGGAGACAATAAAGAACCGCCGGAGCATCGACAAACCTTCAATCACTCCAAGCGATAGAACCTGCTTGATTCCCGTGTAAGGTCTTCGTTGTTGGAGCACAGATCCTTCAGTACTGCTGATGTATGGGGTAACTTCAATACAGTCAAAAAACAGTTTGAAATCACACCAAATCCGAACAAACTAATGGCCAATGGCATGAGAGATTTCCTCTTTCCATTAGTAAGTACTCAACATGAATATGGCGCCGGGTGAGAGTGCCTCTGAGAGGTGGTTCACCCAGATCACACGAGAATTGAAAACTCAACTACACAATGTAGTGACTGTAGTCTGAGGTTTACTTATCACAGAGAAACCACATTGCATAGCACAGGCGGCCCATGCTACAAGCCTTCTCCTCACCTCCTGCTTAGTCTGCATGGGAGCGTTCGCTTCTTACCACATATATATAGTATATACTAAAAAAGTGCTAGAACTCTAGACTTCTTTGCACGGGGCTAGGAGCTATAGACTTCCCAGAAAACCACTCCCTCTGCCTACTGAAAAAACACAACTTCTAGAACGCACGTATCTGGCCCAAGTATGCAATGGCATCTATGGTCAAGCGGTCGGCCTGCCAGGGCTGCAGTGCTTCCCACAAGATGCCCTGTGAACCCGCAGGTCCCAAAGTCTGCTAAAAGAGACAAAGGATTGATCATTGATGTCATTATGGCACAAATTTAAGAAATAAATAAATAGATCAGTCAAAAACCATTTACTTTCCATCTTGCAGCGCCAGATCATACTCCCAGGACCGTACTCGCAGGTAATCGCTTCGTCGGAGAAATTGGATATCCCTCTGCGTGTGCGTACTTGTGTCTTCGGCCTTGTTCTGCCGATCATTCCATCGCCATGGTCCCGGGGAATCCCACCCTTTGTAACACCCTTCATGTCTCAAGAAATTGTGACCAGACCTGCTCTCCCAGTCTGGCTGCCATCCTCCTCATGGCTTTGAAAATGATGAAACTGTGAAATCCTGCCCCCTTTAGTTCCCTATGCAAGGTTATCAAAATAAAAGGGAGAAAAGCTTCCAAGTTTGTTTCGTCTGAATGCGATGCAGAGTGCAAATTTTTGTTGTAGAGGTGCAAAGACTTCAAAATGCCCCAAGAAAGTTAAAAAAAATGGAAATCTGTTCTGTTAAAAGAAAAGAAAAGGTGGTTTTCACAGCCTTTTTGGCAGCCCCAGGCAAGCCGAAAAGAAAGGAGAGAGAAGCGAACCACGTGGTTCTGCCACCTCTTTGTTTCTTTTCTTCTCAAAAACTGCCTTTTTACCTCAACCAGTGAGCATACCATGACATTAGAGGACATCAACTAACATAAAGCTCTCCTCAGCTGTGGCTGAATGAGCCATAGCCACAGCCCTGGTGAGGCAGGTTCTTGTTATCTTTTTACACAAAATGCCGGTGAGAAGCATTAATTACTTCCCCATATGCCACAACAATCCCCGTCTTCAGGATTTGCTTCCACGGCTTTAGATGAAAAAAAAGAGAAAAAGTGGAGCCCCTGTACCTGCCTGGTGGCTACATGGTACCCTTCTTTTTTGCAATTACACTACCACAGCCTGCAGCTCTAGGGATAGTAGGGGAACCCCGGTGCTGTATGGATGAATGGGGCAGAGTGCACACCCAGCTGATATTATGCCGGTCAACTAGTTGAACACTGATGGACATTGGACACCACAGAAGTGAGGGATAGGCCCAGCCGTAAAACAAAACATGACATGCCGGCTTCACTCTTTTAAATGTTGGCCGCCAGGTTTCCCTGCAAAGTAGCTATACTCGAGTAGGATCATCACCATCTTTCTGCACTTTGATGGCCGGCGTCTTTATTGAGCCAAAGGCCATTGCACATCAGAGTTAATAGATGGCAAAGAAGGTCCTTTCTGGTTCTGACACAAGAGAAAAGTGGATGGAGGAGAGAAGCACAAACAGTCAGAGAGGGATAGATACGCCTCCCCCTCCCCCAATCAAACAGTCTGTCACAGTCACCCCCTTTTGTAGAGCTATTTTAGCCAACACGTGCACACATCCACACATACACACATACACACAAACACACACACACACACACACACACACACA